TGAAGGAACAAAACAGCTGCAGACTCACAGACTCCAAGAAGGGACTAGTGGTTACAAGGGGGAGGGGTGTGGGAGGGGTGAGGGAGGGTGGGTGGGGAGGGAGAAGGGGACTGAGGGGTGTTATGATTAGTACACATGGTGTGGGGGGTGGTCACGGGAAAGACAGTGTAGCACAGATAAGACAAGTAGTAACTCCGTGGCATCTTACTACACTGATGGACAGTGACTGTAATGGGATATGGGGGGACCTGATAATATGGGTGAATGTAGTAACCACATAGTTTTTCATGTGAAACCTTCATAAGAGTATATATCGATGACACCTTAATAAAAAAAGAAAGCCCATCAAAGGTATTGAAGGCATAATTGGTGAACGAGAAATTACCCAAAAGGCAGCACAGAACTCCTGTGGTCAGACAGAATATTCCCTAAGACTAGGTAACTCGCAGAGGGACTGAGAAGCCACTGAGCCCAGTTCTGCTGTCATGGTTTATTAGTTCATGGATACAGATTGACACCAGCCAAGGCAACCAGCAGAAAAGTCAGAGTCCAGGAAAGTTCCAGACGTGGAATCCCAGCTGCCCCTGACAATGGAGTCATGTGGACAGTGTTGCTTTGTGGCATAAACATGACAGGAGGCAGGGGGCACTGGCACCTGGGCAGGCTCACCTGAGCCTGGGCACCCAGTCTTCACTGGGCTTGACCCCTTCAGCCTGGTAGGACAGGTAGGTCGCCTTTGTGCATGTTCCCTCCCCAGCCACTCCCGACGCCATGTGACCCACAGCGCCCACCCTGAGTCGCACTGAGCAACGCTCCTCCCGTCTCCTTCGCCCGATCTCTATCCTTTTTACAGTAAGTGTGACCTGACTGTGACAGAGTTCTGTTCTTATTATGTCACACTCAGGCTTTGTGATTAAATGTCAAAGCTCTGTGTCTGAGCTAGTTCGAACCGAGGTCTGCCTAGCACAAGCACATGACCGCACAGTGGCTGTGTTCCCTTTACCAGATCGCCCCTTAGCCTCCTAAGAACACAGCTCGCTTGCTACTTCAAGGAGTTTACTACCCAGAGGCCTCTTGGAGGACCGCCAATCAGACATACAACCTAAATTTCTGAAATTACCTAACATTCAGTGGCTCACAAAACCACTTTTTCCCATGAAGACAGAACACACAGACTACAGGCTCCACGCTTTGCCCCCAAAGGAGCAGACCCGACTCCGGGACTCCTGGCTCTGCAGCCCAAACCCCAGAGCTTGGGGGAAAGACTCCAAGGGAAGAACAGCATTTCCTGGCCATCACCTTGTTCCCATTTGCCACCACGTGGCCACATGCCATGCTGATGAGCTCCCTGTGCCTCCACATCCTCCAAATTCACAGGAGGATGGACCTCACCACCCAAGCTGCCTCTGCCATCACGACGATCTGGTCAGGGCCTCATTCCACGACACCACACAGGAAAAGGTGCGCAGCTACCTGTGGTGACACCCATGGGCAGAAATCGATGAAGGCAACTTCTGAGAGACGCCGGGATCCATTCCTGTAAAAGTCAACTGTCCCTTCCCCGCAGGCCTCTGCAGTCCTGAGGAACAGCTGCTGAGCTTCCACTTTGCTTTTAAGTCTCAAGTACTTTCAGTACAATGAATCTCCTCTTTTACCTATAGAGGCTACATCTTAACCACTGTCCCCAAAGGGACCAACTGCCTTTCCAGAAAATCCATGCGTCTCTGTGTGTGCTTGTGAGATATATGCAAGGAGATATACATGTATAATACATACACATATAAAACCAGTCCTTGAAGAGATTTAAGCTTATTTGAAGGACCGAAGGGAAAGTAATGTTCACCAGGTGTGTCCAGCCACCGAGGGGTCCTGGGCCTCCTTAAAACTTCAGCCTCTCAACCACAGACACACATGGGCCTCCCCAGAGACTGACCACACGGACCTGTACAAATCCTCAAACCTGGAAAAGACATCACCATTCATGGTGACCTGCCCGCTTCATCAGTTAGCCGATACAAATTTCCAAATTTGAATGGTATTCATTAACAAATACCACTGTGGGCTGAACTCTTCTCCCAAAATCTCTGTTTAAATATATAGCACATGGCTTCTTTGGAGGTAGGGTCATTAAAAAGGTAGTTAAGATAAAAGTGAGATAATCAGGGTGGGCCCTAATCCAATATGACTGTTGTCCTTCAAGAAGAAATATGGACATAAGAGAGGGTAAACCATTTGAAGACACAGGGAGAAGAAAGCCATCTGTGAGCCAAGGAGAGATTCTCAGAAGAAACCAACCCTGCTGACACCTTAATCTCAGATTCTAGCCTCAAGAATTGTGAGGAAAAAAAAATCTGCTCCTTAAATCCCTCAGTCATGGCGCTTTATGATAGCCCTAGACAACTAATACAACACCCTCAACTCCAGTTCTCCATCACTGAGCCATTCAAAGCAGAGTGACCCGCTGAGACCCCCAAACCCTGACCTCTAACCCAGCATACCAAATTATGCAGTTACTGCTTGGCAAACAGCACACTTTTTTAATACTGTTAAGTACAATTTTTATGAAGGCAAGAGTGTGTAGCAATCTAAGATATAAATTGGTTTGGCCTTCAAGAGGGTAACCTGGAATTACCTATCCATTAACATTTTTTACCTGGGATGCCAGCCTCTGAAAGGTGAGTTCAGCACCTGGTCTTCAGGGTCCAGGGCAAGCCTGGGCAGCCCATTTAGGGACCCTGACTGCTTATTTCAGTGCGAAAGATGCCATGACTGCCATGATAGAATGTGAAGATTGACAAGAAGTAGAGAGATCTGAAGTCTGAGTTGAAGACAAATCCATTCCTGATTCTTTGCTTTACAGTATCTATCCTGAATCCATCCTGTTAGAGGCCATTACTTGCATGTTTTATTCATCAGTATATCCCATGTCAGTAACAGTGACTGGCAGGATGCAGATGCTCAAAAAATGTTTTTGGTTGTTGCAGTGAATTACTCAAAAACCCAGAGTTTGGAATTCAATTATGAGACTGCCACTTCATGGCAAATTTCTTCTTTTTCCCCTTCATTATTCTAAGCTGAATACATCTTTATTGTATCAAGGGGAAAACCTGAGTATAGAAGAAAGGGCAGGGCAGGATGAGGGCAAATCAAGTCTCAATTCACTGTCAGAGAGCAGCCACAAAATGATGGTAATTCGAAAGGTGAGGCTTGTGGACAAACGTCAGGGATTTTCTCCATGACCTCCAAAGGACCTCACCTTCACCGGTCTCACATGTCCTCCATTCTTAGAGCAAAGTCATTTTCTTCTGTTAATTGGGCGTATTCTGTGGTTCATACTACTTCTCTTATCTGCCCCTTTTATACTGCCAGGAGTTTCAATTCAGGATTTTCTAAAAAAATGTTTCTTGTAATAATATTGATCCTTAAAGAATTTGTTTCCAGGAGCTCCATTCTTTCAGGGACAAAAATAAGTCCGTTTGTCCATTGACACCTTGATCACCTCATTCACCTTTCAAAGCTCCATATAATTCATTTGTACTTTGCTGTGAGCTGGGAAATATATCATTTAAGAACTATCAAGAAATTTATAAACTAGGTTGTGGGGTAAGACATGACTCTTTTACAAAAGTATCCATATTCTATTTTATGTATGAAAAACTGTATGAACCTTGCCCCCTGCCCCCTCCAACTAACAATATGGCCCTTCAACAAGAAGTCATCAGTATACTCTGTGCATTATACTGGTGTGCCTTCCATGTAATGTAGGTGTATATAGCCCTGATTTTATTTGCACTAGAGTAAAATTGCTATGTGCATATAATCCAGCTTTTAAAAAGTACCAACTTAAAGGTAGCAAGGACTCCTTGTTTAGTTCATCACAGTCCTAGAACAATACCAGTTAAGGGAAATATTTATGAAGTTTTTCTGAGTGGTATGTGTATGAGATGGGGAACCATCTTCTAGGGAAAGAAATCTAGCTGATAGATTACTCATGAGTTTTGAACTTTGTTCCTTTGGGTGACACTTATAAAACAAACATACCTAAACACGCTGTGGTCCAATGTTGAATTAAATGTATTCAGTTTCCCTTTGAGATAACAAAGTGAATACATTTATAACAAAAGAAATGCAAGAGCTAGCCACATAAAGATCCTGGTTAGGAAAAGACGTATGACTCCTAAAAAATGGGAGGTTGCAATGTTATAACTTTAACCAATGATGAGCAATCATACCACCTCCACTGAACTAAGAAGTCACTGAGTCAACTAGGAGTCTGATTCAAGGTATGCTGTCTTAAAATACACACTGTATATTATCTGATGTATAATAGACTTGTGATAGAAATCTCTTAAGATAGCCTTCATCCCCAGAGGGCTTACTTGCATCGTGTATTCTCTGATATTTTGTGAAGTTATTCCGCCATTGTTATGTTCAGTTTTCTTTCTATATGATTTCCTCTACCAATGGAGAATGCAGAAATTGACAGCCCTGCCACACTCACTGCCTTCAAAGGTTAGTCTTTCCTGGGTAAACCCTGAAACCCAATGAAGTCTTATTTCTGGGAAGGACTTTTCCACGGTCAATTTATTTCTACCAGCTATGAGCTCAAAGATGATATGGGACTTGGGAAGCACTGATAGGATCTATCTTCCCACAAAAGGCGGTCCAGTGTATGTATTCATACCCTTTGTCTCAGTATACACCACCTTACAGTCAGCTGGAATGATTTATTCAAGGGGTCTCCACCTTGATTGCATCACAGTTTATACCTGGGTGTTTCCTATGACATAAAATACGATGTAATTGATCACTGAAGGTGCTACCACACTCACTGCATTCATAAGGTATCTCTCTGTGAATTCCGTTATTTACTGAGGGTGCACACCTGGCACCTGGCTGTCCCACACTGGCTGCATTCCCATCTGCCAGGAACCCACTGATGTTCGCCAAAGTCTGAGTTGCTACAGAAGGCATTTGCACAGTCACCATATTGACAGGGTTTTTCTCCTGTATACCACTTGAATGTGATGAGCTGTGATTCTCTGAGAAAGAATTCTCCAATTTGACTAAACGTACACGTTTCTCTCTTGCATGCAGCATTCCCTTGTGATAAACAAGGCACGACAAGTGGGAGAAGGCTTTCCCACAGTCCAAGCATCTGTAGGGTCTCTCTCCTGTATGAGTTCTCCTATGTCTATTGAGGCATGACTTATCACGAAACGCCTTCCCACAGTCACTGCATATGTAGGGTTTCTCTCCTGTGTGAATTCTCTGATGGTTAATGAGACCGGACTTGTGGGAACAGGATTTTCCACACTCGGTACACACAAAGGGAGTCTTTCCAGTGTGGAATCTCTGATGTGATATGAGGCATGTTTTCTGGCTGAAGCCTTTCCCACATTCGGTGCATACATAGGGCTTCTCTCCAGTGTGAATTCGTTGATGGATAAGGAGATTGCCCTTCTGAATGAAGCCCTTTCCACATTCATTGCATATATAGGGTTTCTCTCCCGTATGAGTCCGCTGATGGACAATGAGATTGCCCTTCTGAATGAAGCCTTTTCCGCAATCACTGCATATATACGACTTCTCCCCAGTATGAATTTTCTGATGTGCATTGAGCTGTGATTTCCAGCGGAACGTTTTGTCACATTCAGTGCATTCATAAGGTTTTTCTCCTGTATGAGTTCTCTGGTGTTCAATGAGCCTGGACTTTCTGGAAAATGCCTTGTCACAGAGACTGCATCCATGAGGTTTCTCTCCTGTATGAACCCTCTGATGGTTAATGAGCCGAGACTTCTTGACGAAGCCTTTCCCACATTCATTGCATACATAGGGTTTCTCTCCTGCATGAGTTTTCTGATGAAAAAGTAGCCGTGATTTCTTGGGGAAGACTTTGCCACATTCGGTGCATTCATACCGTTTCTCTCCTATGTGAGTTTTCTGATGTTCAGTGAGCCTGGACTTTCTGGAGAAGGCTTTCCCGCATATACTGCATCTGTGAGGTTTCTCTCCAGTATGAACTCTCTGATGGTCCATAAGGCGAGACTTCTTAATGAAGGTTTTCCCACATTCAATGCATATATGGGGCTTATCTACCTTTTGAATTCTTTGATGCTTAGTGAATTGTGTCTTTGAGTTCACAGAATTTCCACGTTCAGGAAATTTAATTTCAGTACAAAATTGTCCATGCTTTGCAGGAGGGAAGGATTTTACATCTCTATTAATCTCAACAATATTCTTCACTTCATAGTTTCTGTTCTGGTTGACTAATCTAAAATTTGATTTCAGTGTTTTCCCATGTAAGTCAAACATATTATGACTTTGCCTTAGAGGAAAACTTTTACTCTGATGAACACTGTCTCCAAATGTGTTACGTTCATGGCATTGCTCCATCCTCCTTGGCCATCTTTGATTCTCCAAGTGCCCTTGCAGATGACTATCATCTTTCTTGATTCCTAGGAAAGAAGAGAAGAATGAATCTCCCCATGAGCTTGGGTATAGAATAAAACTGATTCACAAAAGGCTTTGTGTCAGCGGGATCTTTATTGGCTATATTACCTCAGTTCAAAGAAACTACAAGCAAGTATGTTTACTTTCACTCAGACAAGGGTAAAACACAGTAAACAAAAGGAAAAAAGGTAAAAACAGTCAGTGTATAAACAAGGTTAGATCATTCAAAACGAACAAATATATACTTGGCTGATTTCTGAAAGTGACCTTACACAGCACGCTGAGATAGTGGAAAAAAAATCAAATTACTCTAAGTGCTAGACCACAGAAGATAAAGGAGTATTTGTTTCAAAATGATGAAATAAATCCTTCTTAAATTATGACTGTGTACGAAGCATTGTGCTAGTGATGAGGATACGAAAGCACCTTCCTTATTTTTTACCGAGCATACATTCTAGTTGAGAAAAACTGGCCAAAAAGCAATGAAAGAGCAGGTAGGTACAAAATATGAAAAGTGGATTGAAGGAGCCATGGAGAGCAAGGCGGAGGATTTGAGAATATAACCTGGAGGAAGAAAAGACAAGGTTCGCTCATGGTTTCAACACGGGGGGCTCAAATGTGAGGAGTAGGGTATGGCTCCTCACTATCTGGGGCCACTGGATAGGTGGGTCATTGCCTTTTAAAGAGATAGGAAATATTACTGAGGTTTGCAATGTGGGGAAATCAATGTGCATTTCAAAACTTATCACCCTTCAGACAGGCTTTCACATATCCAGTATGGGCATGAAAATCTCAACTGGATGTATAAACTTTGAGTAAGGTCTTGATTGGAAATGATGTCTAATTGGTAGTATATAAATGCTTATAAGCCAACATTTATATATAAGTTAAATATAAATCATTAGTAAATAAATATGTAAAATTGGACTGGATGAAATGACTGCATGGAACTAAGTTGATAGTTACTATTAAGTTTGCATTTTTAAAAGTCCATTGGGAAGCACCAAGCATTGTCTATACTGATAAAGGAAATAAACATTCCTATACTCAGGTAACTACAAGGGTTTAGGAGCTCTGTGTCAGGAACCAGGAACCAAGGCCGAATTTTTTACATTACGGTATCATTCTAGGCAACTGCCACCTCTTTCAGTCACTTTTTGAACTTGTACACATGTAATATTTAGATGCTCCCATTTCAGTGCAACGATCCTCAAACCCACCTGTGGTGTCATGATCTCCAAACTCACATCTTGCCACTAACAGTATCTTCTTCCAAAATCATATGGTCTTGCACATTTCCAACATCACACCTTCATTCTTTACACTGTCATCTTTACTCAAGTCCTAGAGATGCCTACTACATGTCGTCATGTCATCATTCTCCCATTCTATGTCACTGTAAGCACTGCTTCCCCTAAATTTCTAAAGTATTCCCCATCTTTACTGTTCACTTTGACAATTAACTTTACACTGCCCTGAAATGTAGCAAAAGATGTCTCATTTAGAAGCTGACCCTCTACACATTACATGCAGATTTGTCCTCTAGTAGCAGCTAAAATCTTTCTCCTGCAATGCACTGCTTTATTTCTCCCTAAATTCAATCGCTTCTACCGTACATGAAGGCTGTGGATCACCAATGAGGCTCCAGAGGGCCTACATACAGCATTACAAGTTGTATAAAACCAGGTCATCAGCCCAATCTAACAGAAACAACTCTCAAAAGTAGTGATCTTGTTACACATATTAGAAAATCATGCATTTAACAATTACTCATCTTTTTGACTGCTAGCTGTCCAAGGCTCTTCCCGTACTCATATCACGGGAGACCTCACTCGATCTGTCTCTCTCTCCAGTCCTAAACGCTCCCTGGATTCCTTGGGTGTATCCAAAGGCAGCAGAGTGCTGCACTTGGAACAAACACGTCTAAATTACAATGTCCAAACCAGAACGCTGACTTCTCAGCATGCAACTCCTTCTCCTCTCATGTGCCTTCATCTCAGAAATGGCACCTCTTCTCCTACTGGGACTCATACCAAAAAACTTACCATCATCCTTCATTTTTATTTTTCTCTCACACCCTTTCTCTACTCCAACAGGAAATCATTTCTGCCCTCCTTTATATATTCAGAAGCTGACCAACCCTCTCTCCACCTAGACGGGAGGCAAGCACTGTCCTGGACAACAAGGGGCTCCCAGATGGATTTCAGGCTTAAACCTCTACCGGTCTCCTATTTACAAAGCAGCGAAAGTGACTGCTTTAAACATAACTTCATGTCACTGTTCTACTGAAAACTCCATTTTCTCATCTTATTTTAAAAAATCAAGTCCTTGAAATGCCCATGAAAGGTCTTACATGCCCAGTTCTACTCCAAACCCTGGCTATGACCACGCCGCCCTTGTCTTCCAATTAGCCTCCAACCACTGTCCGTCTGGCTCACCCCGTGTGCACACGGGCTTCCTGGAGGTTTCTCCAACGCGATTCTGTCTCAGGCCTTTGGACTTGCTATTGTGTCTGCTTGCAACACGATTCGTCCAAGAGACCTACTCCTACCCCTCAAGGCTGCTGAAAGGCATCTAGCCCAAGAGGCACCCCCACGCCAGAGGCCCTGAGACCAGAGGGCCGACACAAGATTCCGAGCTGCTGAGAGCAGCTCCTGGCCCCTCACTCCCTGTTCTCTTGCTGTTTTACTGATCTTCCTGGCACTGTTCATAAGACACTATGCTTATGTATTTATTTTTTATTAATTTTGTGTCTCCTCATCTTAGATTGCCATCTCCAAGGAGAATTCTGTTGGTGTTGTTCATGGTTGTCTGCGCCAGTGTGCAACCGAATGTGAAGAGAACATTGAAGGGAATAAAAAAATACTTAAAACAATGTACTGAGGGAAGATTCTCATGGATGGAACATACTGGGTAAGGTCCCTTAAGTACTGTTGACCCTCAGTTTAGGAAAAGGAAAACAAAGGCTGTATATTCAAGATGATGCCGCATGCTGCACGGTGGAGATGGGTGACAGAAGATAGATTTCCACTTTATATGACTGGTAATGTAATTAATTGGGACTTAATGTCATTGACCATCATAAGGAAAATAAAAGATTTAAGGGAACGCATCCAGTAATATCATTTAAGAGAAACTAAAACCCAAGAGTTCCTACGTCCTGGGTAACAGCGGCATCTTTCGTTGTCATGTGACTCCGGGTGGGGTCCTGGAGTGCGGGCTGGTCCCCGGGAAGACCAAGCCATGATCAGAAGCTTGGAATTTTCTGCCCACACCCCCACTCTCCAGGAAGGGGAAAGAGGCTGGAAAGGGAATTCATACTCAGTCAAGCCTACATGAGGAAGCCTCCATAAAAACCCCAATAGCGCAGGGTTCCAGGAGCCTCCGGGCGGGTGAACACAGGGAGGTGCTGGGAGGACGGTGCTACGAGAGGGCATGGGTGACCCACCACTCCCCACATCTCACCCTACGCAGCTCTTCCATGTAGGTGCTCACCTGTATCCATTATCACGTCCTTTCATAATAAACAGATACATTTAAGGTATTTCGGAGTTCAGTGAGCTGCTCTCACAAATTTGACGGGGTCATAGGCATCTCCAGTTTGTAGCCAAGTCAGAAGTTATGGGACCTACTATTATTAGCTTCTGAAATGGGGGGCAGTCTCATGGCACTGAGCCCTCAAGGAACGTGTGGGTCTGATGCTATTTCCAAGCAGACCATGTCAGAACCGAGCTCCAACAGGACATCCAGCTGGGGTCACCAAGAACTGCTTGTTGTGGGGACGATTCTCCCACACCTGGTGTCAGAAGTATCCTGAGTGTGGCAGCAACATGAGAGTAAAGGAGAAACATAGGAGGACTGAGGTTTCTCCAACACGGCCAGGACACACGCCAGAAATAACAGTGCTTAGGATATAATGAGTTCTAAGAAATACAGATTTGGTCACGACCAAATCCATGTTTCCCAGGTTTACTGGTCAACCACAGTTCCTGAAAGCACTGCAGTCTTAAAGGTGAAACAGGTGCTTTGTCATGTTAATGAGAGACTTGAACCCCCACCCAAAAGAGGAGGGGTGGAGGCTCAATCAGCCAATGGCCAATAATTCAGTCAATCGTGGCTATGCAATGAGGCCCTCACAAAGCCCAAGAAGAGTTGTCTTTCAGCCTCTCTCTCCGCGCTCTGCTATGCGGGACCCTGCTTCTTGGTCAGGGAACCAGACGCTTCCACACGTCACCGAGCCGGGCCCCGAGCTCCAGGACGATAGAAGCTCCTTTATTTCGGACCCTGCCCTGTGCCTCTCTCCATCCACCTGTTAACTTGTATCCTTTATGGTGCCCTTTATTAAACTGGTAAAGGTGTTTTCCTGAGCTCTGTGAGCCACTCTAGCAGATTAATTGAACCTAAGGGGGAGGTCGTGGGAACCTCCAGTCTGTAGGCAGTAGGTCAGAAGCACAGGGAACTGCCTGGGTTGGAGAACTGCCTGCTATAAACATGTGTGGGGAGACCCCCTCCCACATACTTACACACACTGGAATTGGGTCCAGGTACCCGAATGAAGTTACACTATTACTGCTGGGTATAATATTGTTACTGTGATATATACATGTAGGGAAGAAATACACCACTGCATTGGTGTCACCGGTGTCACAGCACTGCAGACCGAATGTCTGTGTGCCCTGCAAATCTGTATGCTGGCATCCTAAGTGCCAATCAGAAATGGGAGAGGATGTTAGGAAGGGACCTCCACATCCTCAAATGGGCAGGAAGGTACAGGAGTCTGAGACTGGGCTCAAGTCAAACATCTCCCTTTGCAGAGACGCATGGAAGGTGGAATTCCCCAGCAAGAAAGGCGGTAGGAACAGGCAGTGATACAGCGCTGGGGGAAGAAGGACAGTCAGAGCTGAGAATTCTAAGAAACCTAGAGGAAAAAAAGAAATCAAGACCTGGATGAAATAAATAGGGAATGGAACCAAAAAGATATGTTCCTCCAAACACCTAAAAGAAGAGCTCTTCTGTGGGGGATTCACGGGACTGGTTCCCTGTCCTTGGACGCCCCCAGCCGCGACACCGCTGAATGACTGGCCTAGGCCTTCCTCAGCCGCCCTCCTGGCTGGCTCTCACCCACCCACCTGGACAGATCCGACTGCGGGCTTCCTCTCCCGCCGTCCGCAGGTCTCTTCCTCCCAGTCTGGGCAGTGTGTCTGCCCTGCTGGCTTGATAGCCTGTTCACGGGAAATGAGAGAAGAGGAAGGCTTTTTGCTTTGGGCTGTGGTCTGCCAGCACCGAAGAATGTATTTTAGGAACAGTGCCATTTGCAGGCTGGCAAGGTAAAGGCTTTTCTCTCAGGAAGGGGACATTATACCCTCTAATCTGGGACCCAAGAGGGTCTAAGAATCACTGCTTCAGAGCACCACTGACATTCCAGAGCTTTCAGCAGCTGAGAGACACAAGGCCACTGACCGGGGCCCCCTGGGCAACACAGGGGCGCCGTCCTCACCCACTGACACCAGGTTCCTGTAGTTCTCCAGCATCACGTCCCGGTACAGGTCCTTCTGAGCGGGGCCCAGGAGCTGCCACTCCTCCCGGCTAAAGTCCACGGCCACATCCTGCAGGGTCAGAGACTCCTGTAAAGACAGGGTCCTTGGTAATATGAGTTACTGATGTGGGAGCAACATGAAAAAGTTGTTCTGCTCATTTTAAGGTTGCATCTATAAACTGAGGTGTTTTGATTTTTTTAAACTATGTTATTATAGAGGTAAAATCTATCCATGCTTAAACCTTTCTAGCAAAATACTTTGTAATTAGGCAGTAAACCATCGTTCAACAAATCAGAAGTTTCTGTAATTAGTCACTAAACCATTTTGCTAAGCTAGAAACATTTGCAAAATAGCTATGTGAAGCATTTGTATCAATATATTTTCGAAGCAAGCACATATTTGCCATGCATTAAGAATATTCCAGTGACATCAGGACGAATAAAACATATTCCTATATTCACTATGAATCTTCATAACCACTACCACAACTGTGATATAATGAGTCATAAGAAATACATTATTTGGTCATTCAATACCAAATATGTATTTCCCAGGTTATTTATATTTGGTCCTCATCCAGTTCCTGAAAACACTGCAGTCTAAAAGGTGAAATGGGTGTTTTGTCATGTTAATGAGAGACTTTTGGTCCCAACGGTGGGGGCTGTAGGCTGGATCACCCAACAGCCAGTGACTGGGTGAATCGGGACTATGCAGTGAAGCCCTTACAAAAACCCCAAAGGGGGGCATATGGCTCTCTTAGATTCTGCTTCTCTGTCAGAGAAATTTCTGTCACAGAAAGGGCCTTGGGGAGCCAGACCGCCTCCATGTGCCACAGAGCCAGTCCCCAAGCTCCACGCAACTAGAAGCGCCTTTCTTTGGGACCTTGCCCTATTCGTCTCTCCATCTGGCTGTTAACTTGTGTCCTTTACAACATCCTTTATTAAACTGGTAAGTGTGTTTTCCTGAGTTCTACGAGCTGCTCCAGCAATTTAATTGAACCTAAAGGGAGCTTCTTGGAACCATTGATCTGTAGCCAGCTGGTCAGAGACACAGGGAACAGCCTGGGGCTTGTGACCAGCATCTGGAGTGGGGGGCGGAGGGCAGACCTGCAGGACGGAGCCCTTCCCCTGGGGACCCTGGCGCTGTCTCCGGGCAGAGAGCATCAGAATGGAGGTGGGTTCTCGGGTCACACTGCTGGTGTTCGAGAATTGAGTGTTGTGTGTACAAAGACCCCCTCCCACACACATGCACATCTGGTCCAGGAATCTGAAAGGAGCTGTATTACTATTGTTGTGAAATAAAAACATAACAATCAACCATGAAAAAACTGCAGAAACTATACTTACAAGATACTGCAATTAAATAAGTGCATTTTATGTTAGGAGGAATAACTTGCTAAAACATGTCCAAAGAACCAGAGACTATTAAAGAGAGCTAAGCAGAGTAAAAAAATAAATAGCATCGTTCAAAAAACATGTACATACATACATACACACCTGCATATATACACACACACACACACATGTATATACATATGTGAAATTTACATTTACCGGAAAGGTTCACAGCATTATCAGGTATATTGAAGAGATAATGAACTGGAAGGTAGATCTGAGGAAATTACTCAAAACACAGGCCAAGGACAAAATGAGGGGACACATACAAGGCAGAATGATAAACATGGAGGAGACAGTGAGCTGTAAGGTTTACCAATTCAGTTTATGAAAGAGTAACTACACTAAGGCTAAGGCACTATCCCAGGATCGAAGGGCTAAGACCGCCGCATCTGTAAGCAGCTATGCGGACCCAGATGCTCACACTACTGCCCAGGGCTTCCGCATGAGGAGAGAAGCTTACGAGGAGGAATCTTACTTTCTGACTGTATGATTTTGTAATCATTGGAGGTATTTTTTTACCTTTAAAATGTTTGCATGCAAATTTATGATTAAATTATAAAAGGTAGTAAAAGAGGAGGCAGGAGTAATTGGCTTTGAACATGGGGAACGAGCGTGTTCTCAGGTAAGGAGCTTGAACGCAAACCGGCTTACCAGACCATAGTACTGTCAGCCGCCCGCGGCCTACTCTGAACTCTAACACCAGCTCAGCCACCTGTTACACAAGGCCTTTGAAAGAGTCACGGGACCCTTCCATTGTCTTGGGTCAGTTAGGCTTTATTCCTCGATCAACCCTGACAGCCAAAGGCTGTCCGTGGGTGGCCCTGGTACGGCCCCATGAGGAACTGTGCCCACTGAGCTCTCAGTCTATCGTCAAAGGCGTCTCTGAGAAGGCTGAACTTAAGGACACTGTCCACCCTGTCACTGCTGGGAAGACCCGTTAGAAAAGGTCTTGAGAACTGAGTGCCATAAACTACACAGTGACATCCTCCGAGGAACTTGTCTGCCTTCTCCCCAGAGCCGGTGTGCATCCTGTGGTCCCCGTGATCCCCTGGTTGGGAGGGCTGTCAGAGACGTCAGAACTAAGGTGACGGCTCAGGGGACCCGTACGTAGGATGCTCCGGTGACGGATGATGTTCCAGCACTCGTCACCTAATGTGCATCCGTGAGCAACCTATTCCTGAGCCTTGATATCGAAGTTCACCTGTTCAAGCTTTGCCTTGATATTGAAGTTAGAGTCTTAATTTATTTCTGGACAAATCCTACTTTGCCAATTTATATGTTTCCATTGAATTCAACTGAGTGGTAAAGTTCTCCAGAAATCAATCACAGAATGAAGGAAAGAATTAAGAAAAAAAACAAAAAATGAAAGTTACCTGGTCCTTGACCATTTTCTTGTTGTTGGGAAATGGCCAGTCGGATGCTGTGTCTCCAGTCTCTTCTTGAACTGCCTTAAGTTTCTGGTTAGAAGTCTGAATCGCCAGTCAGCGGCGTCCCTGCAAACGATGGCATCCGGGTCCTGAAATCCCGTCCTCACTTCATGTGCCGGACCTCTCCTGGAGCCTGGACCTGTGTGCTGGAAGGCAAGTTCATTTTGAGTGCACATTTCCTCTGGGGCCAGATGTCACTGCTACTGTCACTCACCTGATTTCAAGGCCATCTGTTCCTTTATTTGGAGCCCCAGAGGCGACTGCTCTCTGGAGCAAGGGGACATCAGATGTGTGGAAAGAAGGACCTTCTTCTGTGAAGCGGAAATGGGTGTCTGTGAAAGAGGAGATAGGAAGGGAGAGCCCGCACACGATGACCACACAGCAGGGGACACCTCCCAGGTCAGTTTCTGGGAAGAGGACACATAAAAGGTGAGGCTCTGAACATCGACTACCTTTAAACCACGTGTGCTCATTCACCTGTTCAAGTCTTTGTAGACCTAATGTGTAGATGCACCTCAGTTTGAAGACAGATCTACTAAGCACATTACCTAACAGACCATTTTCATTATGTGAAAGCAAAAAGGAAAATCAACAGAAACAAATTAAAGCATATAGAATAAGACTGTTATCTGCAGACATAGATGCATTTAGTAAAAGCATTATAACATGCATGATATAAAACGAATTCAAGAAAGCCATTCTCTCTGGGGAGGGAAGAGGGGATGGGCTGGAGGATATCACTGCCTTTGCATCTGCATCCACTGAGTTCTTCACACAAGGACCAGTGACAAAAAAACAGTCAGGTACATCAGGAGAAGAATCCTGGTGAGTGAAAATGGCAGGGCAGGAAGTTCTCAGGGCTCCTTCCTCCACGGAAACATCAAGAAAGCAATTAAAAACTACCAGCATCAAAACAAGAACTGTGTCAGGACTCTGAAAAGCAGCCAAAGATTGACAGCAACAGAGTGAACACTGAGGCAAAGGCACCTTGAAAGTGGTACAGAAGCTCCATGCCATCCAATTTGCCCTTGCTTCGCCCCCTCCCCAGTTTGCTGGTGGTCCTGAGGAGCCACCACCACTCCCAGTGTGGGGTCCTGGTCCCTGGCCCTGGAGGGAGCAGAGCAGACTATCTGCAGAGAACTTTGTGTGTCTGTTCGACACGTCTGGGGCTCCCTGACGCAATGCGCTCACCCCTCCAATTAGGAACTCACTCAGGGTGAAAAAGCAGTGGGCATTTCTCAACAACACTGTTAAGGTGGACTGACAACCTGTAGCTGCCTGGGACAAAAGATTACAGTTGAGGCAGAGCCAAAAGGCTGGGAGGGAAATCTGGGAAGAGAGTTTCTTTGAGAACTGAAGCTATTCAAAAGCGCCAGTATATACTGGGGAATTTATAAAGCCACGTACATGCAAGGCCAGGACACCTATTCAGAAAAGACCTGGGAAGACCCCAGGCTTTCCTACTGGCTGATCGCCATGCTCAGTGCAAGCAGGAAAGGAGGCTAAGAGCTGTAAACAGTCTGGCTAAGGACTGAAGGACACAGCACACGGCCACAAAAACATTATCCTACGTGAGAGTAGCCAGACCCAAAAGGTCACACACTGTTTGACTACACCCATAAAATATCCAGAATAGAGCAATCCAGACACAAGAAAGCAGATTGGTGGTTGCCAGGGTCTGGGGGAGGGCGAGATGTGGAGTAATTTTACTACAGGATTTCCTTTCAGGGTTATAAAAATGTTCTAGAACCAGACAGAAGTGGTAGTTGCACAACATTCTAAGGGTACTAAAAGCCACTGAATTGTTGACTTTACAATGGCTAATTTTATGCTTTGTGAATTTCACTTTGAAAAAAAAAACCTAAATATATCCTATATGTCTAGTGAAATGTAAATACTTTCTCTCAAGCCAAGTTCAAGGCAAGCGTGAGCAGCGCCAACCCCATTATCTCTTAACTGTTCTGGAAATGCTACCAGTTAATTTGATAAAGAATCAGTATCAGAGAAGAGGAAACAAATTATAAGAAAGGACCCCCAATATGATTAGAGTCCGAGATCGTTAGATGGCTGATTACAGAATTTATATCTAAACATTGATAACATTTCAAAACACACGTTTTATAGTGTGTTACATGACCAAATATTTTGGGGGAATAGTGGAACACTTCATACTGAATGCTTTCAACAGAGATATGACTAGATCCAAACATTCATTTTAGAAATTCATGCATGCAAAGCTGATGGTAAAAGCATTACTGAGGTCTACAAATAGAGAATTCACTGAATGAGTAAAAGTACACATATCCAGTGAAATACTAAGCAACTGTTAGAATTGCTAACAATCTATATTTAATGAAAAGACACGCACCTCAAAGTCACGTATAGCATAAGCACACGAAAAATGCTCAACATCATTAGTCTTCGGAGAAACACAAAATCAAAGCATGTATCAGACACCACGTCACACCCACTAGAAGGGCTATAATAAAAACATGAGAAGGACACGTTGATGTGGATGAGGAGGAACCGGAACCCTCATGCACTGCTGATGGGACTATAAAACGGTGCAACCACGCTGGAAAGCTGTGGGGTAGTTCCTCAAACAGTTAAGCCTATTTACCGTATGACCCAGCAATTCCAGGTCACATTTACATCCAAGAGAAGCAAAAGCAAGTCCACACAAAAACTTGTAAACAAATGTTTATAGCAGCAGCATCCATACTGGCAACATGTAGGACAAAACGCAAGTATCCATCAGCTGACGAAAGGATAAAGGGTGCTATAGCCATACAATGGAATATTACACAGGTATGAAAGGAATGAAGTACACACGCACGCTGCCACACGGATAAACCCCAGAAACATTATGCTGAGTGAAAGAACCAGTCACAAAAGACTGCGTTATGTGACTGTATTTACAGAAAATGTCCAGAATAGCCAAGTCTATAGAGACAGACACTAAAGTATAATGGGTTTCTTTCAGAGGTAATGAAAATGTCCTAAAATTAATGCTGCAGATGGCTGCATGTAACTGACCGTACTAAAAATATACTGTTTGCACACCTTAAATGGAAGAATTGTGAATAATAAAGCTGTTATTAGAAAAAAACTATGAAGTAAACTCTAATTATATGCTTACTGAAATATTTAGCGGGAAATGTATAAATGTCTACAACATACTTTGAAATGCTTTTTTTTAAATGTAAAAAGATGAATGACAAGTAGAGGGGTCATATATGTTAAGATATGTAGTAAAGGGAACACAACAAAATGGCAATGATGAAACCTAGGTGGTAGGCATACAGGTATTCAATTGCAAAATTCTATAAACTTTACTGTTTCAAATTTCCATAATTAAATTATGGGGAACAGGAAAGCTCCTAGTAAGAGTTCAGTGAGGTAAAGAAAAACGAAATGTTTTTAATGTAATTACTCTTCTATGTAATAATAAATTGAAAGCAGAGAACAAAAAGGTCAAAAAAAAAAAGACACTGTTGACAAGGGCAAAAAAATTAAAAGTCAAGGTTGAGATAAGGGTAAGGGAGCCGCCACATCTATGAGTAAAAACAGAATCATAACTTGTTCTTAAAAGTGGTAACTGAATATGTAAGAATTTAAATTATACCTAAATGAAGGAAGGCACTGATTGTTTCCAATGATAACAAGGGTTTGCCTTTTGATGATACACTTACAGAAATAAAAAAAAAACAATTTTCAAAGAAAAACATTGTTTACTATATGAATGTTTATGCTATGAAATAAAATACTAATGCAAATTATACCAATGTTTCAGTTTACTGGCCCTGTGAGAATCCACCATAAAAAAAATGAAGAACTAAAATGGAAATACACGAAAAAAGTTAACAAACATTACCATTGGAGAACAGAACTGGGAATCAGATGTTATTTTACTTGCGTTAGGGTGAGGCTGAAAGAAGAATATTTACAAGCGTGTGTGTGCGCGCGCTTGTGCACCCATACGTACAGTAAACCTGCAGGAAAGACAAAATCCTCATGTTTAGTAGAAACCTTACCACTTTAGATGTGCTTATGCCTCAACCTGCAGCAAAGCGTGCACATCTAAGGGGTGGAGAGGAAGAGAGGTAGCTACCAAGCCAAGGCGATCTGCAGTCCAACCCTTTACGAGGGGCCTAGACTTGAAGGACTGCGGAGAAAGGAGCGGCCGACCCTCGGCCCACCGACCAGCCAGGTTCCGCCCTCCCAACCTCTCAACGACTCACACACCTGGACCTCCCTCGAAACAGTGGCCACACCCCCTCGGAATAATCCGGACCACAGACTGCGCGTTCACTGACCGTGCGCCCCAGCTCCTGCCACTGTGCCGGTATTAAATTCCGAATGCAGCTAACACCGCTTTCATTGCACCCCAGTCCTCATTCACTGAGGGCGACCGACAGACAGTGACCCCTGACAACGGAGTTCCAATCGTTGATCTCCACAGGCCTGTAATCACGGACCACCGGAATCCTCGGCACTGACTCCAAGGGCACCCCAGCCCCGGCGACCCCAGCCACAGGCCCCCACCTGCTTCCCCCACGGCCCCGCCCACCCAGGGTCCCGCAGACACCGGGTCCTCTCCTCCCGGTTCACGGAGAGACCCACACACAGACCTGATTCTCTCGCGAGGCCACCGCCAGCTCCTACAAGATGCACTTCCGCGAATTCTTTTGGTACTGAGTCCTCCGAGCCTCCGCGCCGACTACGGCGGCCGACGAGGCTCTGCGGCATTTGTACGGAACTCGGACACCGGACTTCCAGCTTCTCCTGGGAGGGAATATGTCCGCGGACGCCCGGGACGGCCATCTTTCAGCACTTGTACGAAAGGACAAGGAGGGATCAGAACGGTGGAAAGGTACCAAAACTAACCCCCGTTTCCTGGCACCTCCAACCCCGCGCCACAAACTGCATTGATTTTCATTAACTCGCGCGGGGAAAGGAATCCCCTTTGCACAAAGAAAGACTTAGAAACGACAGAGTGGGCGCAGCCATCTTGAAAGTTAGGTGTCCCTATAAAATAAAAAAGACTTTTCAATGTTGGAAAAAGCGCAAACGTATAGGCCCAAAGGCAAATAACACCAGGAACGCTTCTTGCTGGACGTGGATGAGTTTAAGGACAGAAAGCTCTAGAAAAGCACGGGGAGCGTGATAACGCCATCAAAGAAAGTCAGAAACAGCGTCTGGAAGAAACTTGGCGGATTTTGGTGTTGGGACAAGGTGGGTTTAAGAATTTAATTTTAAAAGGCCTTCATTTAGGTAGAATTCAAATTCTTAAATTTAAGCAGTCTTGGTGAGCAGTCTTGAGCCAATGGGAAGAGGGAATGTAATGTGGAGGCGGGGAGTTGTTTACACCCGAAACCTGGCTTTCGTTTTCCTAGGGGTGGAGCCGGTATCAAGGGCGGAGTTTTCTGACAACCAAAGGCCAGCATTTCATAAATATGTCAAAGAGAGCGAGAAAGGAAAGGTTCATAGTGGTGCCCTACGTGGGTGAGCTGTGAATCGTATTTACGTGGTTATGACAATCTAAACACCAAATCTGATCCAAGCGAAATGAACAGATCCCTAGGGATGGGGCGTGGTTGCCAGGGCTCCCCCCAACTCTGTGGTTAGAGGGTTGGAACGTTCAGACCCATCTTCCCTTCTCCCCACTCCAACCTCCTGCAAAGCGAGAGGGATTGGAGGTTGAGTTAATTACCAATGGTGGATGATACAATCAATCATGCCTATCCAACGAAGTCTCCATAGGAAAAAAAAACCCTAACCAACCGGGCCGGCAGAGCTTCCGGACTGCACACATTGAGGTTTGGGAGGGCATCCAGAGAGGGCAAGGAAGCCCATGCCCTTTCTCCCTTACCTTGGCCTATGCTTCTTTTCCATCTGCCTATTCTTGAATTGTATCCATTTATAATAATTTGGTAATTGAGTAAGTAAACTGTTTTCTCCAGTTCTGTGAGCCATTCTAGCAAAGTATGAAACCTGAGAAGAAGGTCATGGGACTTCCTGATTTATATATAACCAGTGGGTCAGAAATACAGGAGGCCCAGCTTTGCAATTGGTGTCTGAAGTGGGGAACATTACTGTGGGATTGGCCCCTTAACATCTGGGGTCTGTACTAACTCCAGCAGTGTCAGAACTGAATTGAACTGTAGGACACTCAGTTCGTGTTCCCAGATCCCTGGAGAATTGCTTGGTGTGGAAACAAACCCACATATTTGGTGTCATAAGTATCACACGGTAGAAGAAACAGTTTTCCTTTTGTTGGTGTTCCTTTTATACAGCTACTTTAGAAAATAGTCTGGCAGTTCCTAAAACAGTTAAACATTACCATGTGACCCAACAGTTTCACCCCTAGGTTTATATCCAAGAGAAATGAAAACGTAAGTACACACATAAACTTGTACACAAATGTTTATAGCAGCATTTTATATATATATATAATTTATAATAGCCAGAAGTGGAAACAACACGAAGATCCATCATCTGATGGAGGAAAAAGTAAAATGTTATATCCATACAATGGAATATTGTTCAGGTATAAAAAGGAATTAAGTACAAAAATGTGCTCCAAAATAGATGAACCTTTAAACCATGTTCAGTGAAAGAAGCCAATCACAAAGACTGTATATTATTTTCCTTATAAAGTACCCAGAAAAGGCAAATCTCTAGAGACAGAAAGTAGATTACTGGTTGCTTAAAGGTGGGAAGAATGGGTGTATAATTGACAGGTATAAATAATCGTGATATAATTAAGAAAAGCAACCTGAAATGGGGGTTGGAGAAAGTAAATAAGCAATTTATAAAACAAATATTTTCATTCTGGAGAATTTTTAACTGGAAAATTGCTTGGTGTGGTGCAATATAATGAATCGTAAGAAATACATATTTGGTCATTCATATGACCAACCAAATATGTATTTCCTAGGTATATTTGGTCTGCATTCACAGTTCTGAAAACACTGCAGTCTTTAAGGTGAAATGGGTGTTTGTCCTGTTAATGAGAGTTAGATTGGACTCCCACTCCCCACCCCAGGGCAGGGACTGGACGTTGAATCAGCCAATGGCCAATAATTTAGTCAATCATTACTATGCAATGAAGCGCTCACAAACCCTCAGAAGAGCTGATGGCTTGTGCCTTCTCCTCGGTCAGATCCTGCAGTCCTTTCCGGAGAGCCTCAATACCTGGGGAGCCAGGCCCCAAGCTCCACGCGGAGAGAAGCTCCTTTATTTGGGGCCTTGCCCTGTGTCTCTCTCCATCCGGCTGTTAACTTGTATCCTTTATGGTGTCCTTTATTAAACCGGTAAAGGTAAGTGTTTTCCTGAGTTCTGTGAGCCGCTCTAGCAGATTAATCGAACCTAAGGGGGAGGTCGTGGAAACCTGACCAGAAGGTCAGAAGCACGGGAACTGCCTGGGGCTTGTGACCAGCATCTGGAGTCGGGGGTGGAGGGCAGTCCTGTAGGACGGAGCCCTTAACGGGGGGAGTCTGGTGCTGCCCCTGGGCAGATAGCATCAGAGTTGAGTTCTCCAACACCCCGCTTGGTGTTCAAGAATTACTTGGTGTCAGACCCTCCTCCCACGTACTTAAACACATTGGAATCGGTCCCGGGAATCTGAATGGAGTTATACTACTATTACTGTTACGTTTAATTCTGTTATTTTTTATATGTGTATTTGTATATATATGTATATTTATATATTTAACACAAAGATGACGCTAGAGCATATGGGAACAGTAAAGTGTATTCATTAATAGAACAATTTTTGGACAACAATGTGGAATTATCTACCAAATTTTAAAAATTCATTAAATTTGGCTAGACAACTCCAAATTACAAAAATTTCTTCCCTAGAGATTAAATGTGAAAACACTGAAGTCAAGATAAAGCCCATAGAGAAATTTCTACCGGCACTTTTCTGGTCTTCCATCCCCCCCAGTCGACCCCGCTCCACCTCCCAGTTAGCTCTACCCTCCCACCCGCCCCGTCACCCTTCAGCCTGGAGATGTCACCCAACCGCCACCACAGATCCTGGCTGGAAATCTTTTCCTTCAGCTACACTCATTTACTCTGAGCACCGTGAAGCCTTTCTCGCACCCCCTTGGCGTCTCCAAACTCCACCGTTTTGCAGAAGCCTTCCCCAGGGGAGCCCCACCGGCTCCCGGCTCCTAAAGACCCTCGCTGCCCTGTACGGACATGCGCATCTCTTTCAAGAAGGCCTCTCCCGCTGTCATGTTGCGCCGCTTGGCACGTACAAGCGGCGGAACGGAGGCGGCCATCTTGGGCGCTTTGTGACGCTGCCGACGGACAGACGCATTTTAGTAGTTAGGAAAAGCGGCTGTACGGCAGTTGTTCCAAGATGGCGGCTCCCACATAAATCGGCAAACGGCGCCGCCATACTCTGTCAAAGGGTCTTTGTCTAAGAGAAAAAACTGAACGGAATCTTCGTCTGTGGGCGGTGTACAGACTCAGACGTTACAGAGGTTAAACTTGACTGTGAGGTGGGACGGCAGCGTTAATGAGTCCGAAGTGAACGTGATGGGCCATCCCTCTTCCTATACACCCAGCTGGTGCAGAAAGGATCTAAGAGATCTCGGTTTCGCGTTCTGGGAGCTGAATCAGGTTGAGCTGGACTTGTGGAGATTTGGGGTTTGTGCTAGGGGGTGGCTGTGGGGAGTCCGTGGGGGAGGGGCAAGCTGTCGTGGGGCGGGGGGTTCATTTCGGGTCTGAGGGAGCGGGATGGTTGGAAATGGTGCCGGCTTGGGGATGGCCAGGGATCACAGTGTCCTGGAGAAAGGTTAGAGCTCGGGGTAGCGCTCAGTGACTGAGGCCATTTTGGAGGCAAATCAGTTGTCAGCGTGAGCTAGTGGGTGTGCCAGTGATCGGGATGTACCTGGGGGATAGGTCAGTGATTGGGGGCGAATGACAGGTCGTGATTGGGGTGTCCTTGAGGGAAGTCAGATATTGGGGTGACTTGAGAGTGTGTCAGTGTCTGAAAAGGCCTTGTGGGAGAATATCAGTTATTAGGACAGCGTAGGCGAGGTGTCAGTGATTGGAGCATCCCTGGAGGAAGGTCAGCGGCAGGATCCTTGGAACTTTCAGTGACTGGGACGCACTCGGGAGAGAGGGGTCACTGATTGCAGTGTTCATGGTGGGGGATCAGTGACCGAGTGACCTTTTGCAGAGTCTGTGGGCTTAGGTCAGTGAATGAGACATACTTGGGGGTGGTTACTGAATGGGTGGCCTTGTGGGTAGGTCAGTGCACGGGCAGCCTTGTTTCTTGTCTTGAAGGTATCCAGTGGTTACCGAGAATCATAGGAGTTCGGGGTGTTCGGATCTGGATAGGCCAGTGATAATCTGCTTACAGAATTCATGAATTCTGAACTGAAGTGGCCCGCTTTGGCTATGACGTTAGGCATTGACATCTGAGAGATGTATGGGAATTGAAGCTCGAGAAGTGTGCGTTTTTAGAGGGCATTGGAGTTTTTAAAGGCTATTGACTTCTCATAGGTTACATCAGTGTCTTCTTCAAAACCTCCTTTTCAGCTTCCTCTGTCCTTCAGAGCACCTCCTCTGTTTCCACAACAATGAAAGACGCTTTGAAATGATCAAGGTCTAAACAGATCTAAGGTAAAAGCTTATTTTGCAAGAGTGGTGTCTGGCCCTCTGGTCTTCAAATTTACTGCATATTTTGGGGGATCTTCTGTTCTAGGTCCTTCTGATACATGAGAGGACATTTTCACACCCAAAATCCTAACAGCCAGAGATACACACTGTTAATTGTTTGGTATTTCCTTTTGCACGCTTTTCTGTGCTTTGTTTTATTACCAAAGGGTGACAACACTGCCTAAGTGGTTTATAATTTGCTTTTGCTTTTGTGAAAAACTCAACTGAACGAGGTTCAAATTGCTCCAGTATTAGCGACTTTGGCACAAAGTCTTGTTGATACCTGTATGGCATTCTGTAATGCACATCTCTTTTTAATGTTTACTGGAGTTCCGTTAAACATTCGCAGTGATTTGGAGAGACATGCCTTATTAGGTCTGACATTGCTTGCTAAGTTTATTCCTAGGTCATATCAAACCATTGCAAATGGTTTCTCTTTTTCTTGAACTTTTAATTTTCTTGTAGCTACAAAAGCAGCTAATTAAAAAAAAAGAAACATTCTCTTTAAGGAATTCTTATTTACTGAATTAATATGGTTCAACTGATTCTTATAAGGTTTTCCAGCAGTGAGAACACCAGCAGGTAAGTTTAACTTGGAGAAAAGAATATGGAGTTTGGATTGGCATACCTAGGTACTGTGTGAACCTGGGCAAGTGTCTCAACCTCTCTGAGATTCTTCTCATTTGCTAAAAAAAAAAAGATCAGTACTAATTGCTTGCTAACCAGTATTCATACCTTTCTCTCTGGGTTTTTTAGTCATTTAAGAATTTCTCGTTTGACTTTTTTTTCCCATTTCTTTATGACAGTCTTTCTTTAAATATAGACTTGATTTCCAGTACTGTTCTGGTAAAATTACACAATTTAATGAAGGTAACTTTGTTGTATGTATTATAATATAATTTTGTGTTGTAAAATAAATCATTAGGTAACATATATTACCTGTATCCTATTAACTACCACCTAAAAAACACAGTTAAATGTTAGATATTTATATGTGTGTGTCTATCTAAAACACATTACTTGGATACAAATAAGGACTTGGCAGAACTCAACAACTCTGTTGTTGCAGTTGGGAACCACAAAAATGAGAAACCGAGTCAGAATGATGTTTAATGCAGAGAGCTGACTTCCTCTGGAGACTAAGCACCAAGTCAGCGCTCCCCTGCGCTTGTATTAAGTTACAGCAAGCAAAAAGACAGGATTATAGGAAAAGTTTTTTTAATCAAGCTAAAACAATTGCAAACTACCCCTCTTAAAGTTTCTCTTATGTCTCAAGTCTCCGGCCACGTGAGTCTCGGCGTGTTCCTTATCTGGGTTTGCCTCGGAAGGATCGCCAGAACCGTTTGCAGTCTTTGTCACACCGCTCATGACTCGCACCAGATTCCAAGACGCAGCACCTATTGTTCTTTTATCTTAGATTAGTTTCGGCTATAGATTAAGGTGAAGCAGGAACTAAATTACAGCAAGGTTAACTGCTGGGGTATCTATACTGTGCTATAGTTACAGTTTATTGTCTGTAATCCCCAGGTCGTGACTTCCTGGGATAGAATAGTTCCTTATAAGGGAAGGAGGTAAAGGTACCAAAAGCAACACTACATCCTTCACCAGAGACCTCAAAATAGAGCTTCACGGAAGAGCCCAGAAACAAGGATAGAACAGATGTTACATTTGCTGGCTGTGCTTGCTCCAGAAAATGTCAAAGTCCCAAGTGAGTTTTTGTTTATATATTTATTTTCCCTTTGGCTTTCCAGTGGATTTGAGGAGGCTTAATGATAGATATATTAAAAGAATATGTTTATTCAATATTTATGAGGACTCTATATGCGATACAGCATGAGAAGATAAATGTCAGAGTTTGGGGGAAAGTACTGAGATGAAAGATCAATTTCATAGCCAGGTTGTAATAAAAAAATATAAATCATATATTTATACTCAAGTTAGAACATAGATTATAGTCCATGGGTCTAAATAGTTAAAAAAATTAAGCTGCACACTTGTCTCTAGTATTCCCTGTTCTGTTATCTATTGCTGTATAATAGGCCACCCCCAAACCTAATGGTGCACATTTATTTTTATCATCCTCATTGATTCATTGGTTCCGGAAGTGAGACAAGGCCCCATGGTGATGGCTTGTATGTTCTTGGGTTCCCAAGACCACCCTCAGACTTCGTGATTTGTACAGTACTCAGCAGTGGTGTTATACTAACAATTATAGTTTATTATAGCAAAAGGGTACAGATCAAAAGCAGCAGCAGAGGTGCACAGGGTCAGGTCTAGGAAGATAGAGATGAAAGCTTCCGGTGTCCTCCCAGTAAAGTCCTGTGGGCAGTGTTTAATCTTCCCAGCAGTGACTATAATAACATATGCTGAGTATTGCTCCTCAGGGAACCTCACATGAGCCTAGTGTCCAAGGTTTCTGTCTGAAGTTGGTCACATAATCAAGGCTGATCACATGAATGACTGACTTTAGTCTCCAGCCCTTTCTGAAGTCAAGCTGCTACTGGTGGCCTAAGACCCCTGCCATAAATTGATGCCGGGGTTCTTGTTTGCGGAGTCAAAGAATGAACTTCGCAAACACTCAAGGTAGGAGAGCAAGGTAGAGGCTTTTATTTAGAGGTACAGTCAGAAAGACAGAGCTCCCGGCTCACGCCAGGAGGGGGACAAGAGAGCCTGGGGTGGTGCGTTGTCTAGGGGATTTATAGGCAGTTGAGAATTTTTGGGAACTGATAGAGGGCTCAGGGTGTGGACTTGCTAAAAGTGGTCTTAGGATGTTTGTTTTTGATGAGACATTAAGTCCCTTCTAGCATGCTAAAATGAATCTTATACATGATTACAATTAGCATAATAAAAACATGGGCTACTTTCCTTTATCTGGGGAATATCAACTGATCTCACTGAAGAATGACTCTAGAGCTGAATGTTTAACACAGAGTTTTGGTAGGGGGTTTCCTTGCACGTAGGTACATTGCTCTGGCTGCAAATATCCTGCCCTGCCCCCTCCAGGGGCCCTCACCCTATTCTGTCGAAGCCCATCGTCCCTGTCCCAGAATCACACTATAGCTTAGACTATCTGGTGTGGCCCAGGGCTCCTGGTAAATAAAGATATTTCAAGGGCTTAGAGGTTACTTCCCATAAACAGGCAAGAACCAGCTTCTTTGGCAGATGCAGGAGGTGGACTATGCAGACGTGCCGTGTTAGCGCTTTACTGCGCAGCTTGCCTCCACACCATGATGTCTGGAACCTCAGCTGGGAAGACTCAGGATGTTGGGAGCTGGAATTGTTAAGTTAATTCTAAGTATTCAAAGACCACTTAACACGTCTGCACCCCCAGCCCTTAGTCACATTCCTAAAGAATCCTTAAACGGGGGGAATCCACAACCTTTCAGGGCGCCCCTCTCTGGGGTCGCCCGCACTTTCTAGGTGCATATCCTTTTCACCTTTTCCCGACCTTTCAGGGGCGCCTCTTCTCCAGGGCAGCCCGTACCCCCCTTTCTCCAAGTGCCCCTTTTGCCTTAAATAAGCTTCTCACTGAAACGCCTTGTCTCTGCGCCTTTCCGGGAGTGAGTGTCTTATTACTTCGCTCTGTCACCCCAGTCCTCCGCGTTCCGGCTTCGGCCTTCCCCCTGTCCTCTCCCGGACACGCAGGGAGGGGCTGCTGGGAGCTCAGACCTGGGCTTGCAAGGTACCGTCGCCTGGGTGGCCGGGGGCCGCGGTTCACTGTCATGCTCTTCAGTCACCTGCCTGAGGGTCTCCCTTCTTTACCTACAGGAAGTTCGCAGAACGCAGTCTCCCCCCACCCAGTGCTCTGCGGCTCCCCCAAAGCCTGGGGTGGTGGGGACTCAGTCCCCAGGGGTGCAGATCCAGGCAGAGGCTGCACGCCAGGGGACCCTGGCTTAGGGAGCTAGCAGGGGTCGCGCCCCACGCTGAGGAGCTGCTCGGGGAACTTCCTTTACCGTTCTGATGTCCTTCCCTGACCCTCGCTTCGATGAATGCCTTCCCCCCCACCCCTCTGACTTCCTGCGTCCCCGAACCGGACTGTCCCTGCCAGAATCATCTGGTGTCTTCTTCATAACTGTGATTATGTCCCAGGATGACGTGACTCAAGGACCAGGCTTAGCCGAAGCTGTGGACTAGAGAGAGCACTTAGGCATGGCCTCCCGTGTGGCCGGGGCCCCCCCAGCATGATGCTGCATGCTGAGAGAACCAGACGGAGACGACATGGACCCTTCTGCCTTAGCCTTGGCAGTCACGCACTGTCCCTTCTGGTTACCAGCAGGTCACTACGACCGGCTGGGTTCACGGGGAAGGGAGTAAGCTCCACCTCGTGATGGCGGGGGTGCCAAGGTCGTGCTGGAAATGTTTTTGGGAATGGGAGATGTTATTGTGGTCATCTCTGGGAAATAGGGTAACCTACCACATGACCATAATAAAAAATTGTTGATGATTTAACGGCCTTAAGGAGAAAGCTCCTCCAGAAAAGTAGTTACGTCACTTACATAAGAAGAAATGTTTTTGCTGAGTCATTTTTTAGGTCATCCAGTGTTCAGTGTCCTCAACAGCAAACCACTAGTAAGTAAAGCGGGAAGTTTTCTTTGGCTGTGCTCACCCGCCTTCAGATAGGCCAGAAGTGTCTGACCACAGTCAGACTCGGCGATCAGAGTGCTTCAAGGTTTCAAAACATTGTAGCCCCAGGCCACAGCCTCCTGGTGGTCTGACTTTATCCAGAGGTAAAACCCGGATTATCAAGAAGGGTAGATGGATTCTGTGACTATCAAATGGTTTTCCACAAACAGCCTTCAAAATCTGGTTTTGTATTTAACCAGTGGTTCTCAACTGGGGATGATTTTATACCTCCAGGAGACATTTGACAATATCTGGGGACAGTTTTGATTGTCACAACTGGGGAGGGACACTAATGGGATCGGATGATTAGAGGCCAGGGCTGCTGCTAAACACCCTATAACACATAGTACAGGCCTCCACAACAAAATAATTAATGCAGGCCGCAGTGTCAAAATGTGCCACGGCTGAGAAACACCAGTTTATATTGGTTAGCAAACATTTCTAAGTTTCCATCCATCAGCAAAGTCTTAGACTATTCCCTCGTAATTTCTTCACATCCAGACATGTAGCATCATCAGTTCTTAGTCTATTTCATTTTTTAAAATGCCCAATCTTGCTTAAAATATTCTCAATGTCAGTTTCAAACAGTACAAAAGTTTTTAGAGCTAAACTCTAAAATCCCCCATCAATCCAGGTGAACAGTCTAAAAACTTATATTCTGCCTTCCCTTGTCAGCGTTTACATATGTCATTGTGAATTGGTATGAATTTGAGTTGCTCAGAACCTATGTGTATGCATTGTCATAACTTTGAGGTTACAGTTTATGCACTTTTCTGTAACTTACATGTACTTAACCCGGTACCTTGGAAGTCTTCCATATTAGTATGTAAGTAACAATAGTAAGTGAAAAAAGTTTTGAGTACCCACCTGCTCTAAATTCACTCATTTAACTTCACAGGACCTTAGGGGAAAACATATTTGCAGTGTTTGGAAGGTTCCTGGCTTCATGTTACTGTCATGTTACTCCTTTCTGGAATGCCATGCCACCTCTCCCCTCTGCAGCTCACTGTAAAACACAGAATTGATCTCATAAGAATACATTTCAGATTCACCTGTGAAGTCCAACCTTTATGACTTTTCTCCTTCCCATTGGTGCCCACCTGGTATATATTTCTTACTTGCTCTGTATAAATGCATTGTACTCATGTACACTTATATCTCTCTCTTTGAAAACTAATATTCTCCTTCAGGATAGCTGTGAGTCTTATTTATAAAGGAATGCCCAGTACAGCATACACATAGGTTGTAGATGGTTTCTAGATTAAAGGACAAAGATGCCCTGTTCTATTTCTCTCTTGCAAATGAAAGAACATGTGAGTCAGTGAAAGACTGGCTGGAAGCACAAAGATACAATATTTAAAATTTAAAATTTGTTTTTTTCTGCAAAGTATAATGTAGAACTAGTTATATGGAAGACAGTCAAATGACTTAACATGGGAAAAACTGTAAGAAATTCCCATGTATTTTCATAGTGCTACCAATGATAATCCCTTTAGAATGAATAGAAATGTTCTATTACAGGGCTCGCTGTCATTCAAGGATGTTGCTGTGGTTTTCACCTGGGACGAGTGGCAGTTACTGGACTCCAGTCAGAAGAACCTGTATCAAAACGTGATGTTAGAAAATTACAGCAACCTAGTATCAGTGGGTAAGCAGCACTTTTCCTCGGTTGTGGGCAAACTGCTGCCTATTCTCTCATCACATTGCCTTGCCTTTTTAGACTTGAGATTCATACATCACACATGAGTGCCTTCTGGTTTCTAGCAGAGTGTTTTCTGCTTATTTCCAAAGTAAAAAGTCTTCCCTTGGCCCAGATGAAAACTGTCCAACCCCTTCGATGTGATCTTCCCCACTGTCTCAGTGGCCTTGTAGCCCGTGTGTTTGGGTCCGTGGGTCTGCTATGATTTTCCTTGAGTAGGGCACCAAGTTACCAGAGCAGATGGAGTCTACCTGTTGGAGCCAGGAACGCCGTGGATAGCAGTGGAAGAAACCCGAAGTCAGACTCATCCAGGTGAGTGTAAAACCAGCCCTGTGGCATAAGTGGATATAAAACCTGAGTTGGTCAGAAGTAGGGAGACTCCTCTGAAGTATTTTGAGAAATTGTCTTGAACTTTTTAAGTCCTGAGTGTGACTCGGAGAGCAACTGACGTGAGTTGCCACATATATTATTAATATTGACTCCCCTCGTTAATCTGTGTTAAGACTCTTGCTTAATACATTTCCTTTTTTATATACTCTGTTCAGATCTCTCTCTAGGTCATCTTGGAACTTGTTCTCCTAATTAATCCTTATCCCTGGTTCCCTCAGTGTTCCTGGTTTCTCTTTGTCTCCATCTCCCTAATCTATGATTATAGCTGTCTTTTATTATATACCCAAGCATTCATAAATTCTCCCTCCCTTCTCCATGTTGTGTATCTCCCATACCTCTTGTAGTTTATTCCAGTTTTTTCTCCTTCCACTTAAATATATCTCAGACTTTTACTGTATACCCACAGTCTCATTTCCTCCTCTCTCCTTGGCCTTTCCTATGAGATTGTACTTCTATTACATAGTCATGGATTCATTGCTCTCCTTTCTAGAAGACACCTGGCAAATTGACAATCATACAGACTGGCATCAAGGAAACCAAGGCAACCTTGAAACTATAAAGAGTCATCAGAAAAATAGTGCAGTAGGAAAAATATCTCCTCTGGGCGTAAGCCTTGATGTCCCTTTAGCACAAAGATATACTCTTGACATACTTGGGAGATATTTGAAACCTAATCTACAGTACATTCTTCAGAATAAAAGCTATGCAAGAAGTGAAACTGAATTTAATAGATATGACAAATTATTTCTTTATACTAAGCATGAGGAAATTCATACTGCAGAAAAATACAATGAATGTGTAAAGGCTTTCAACCGTAAGTCACAACTTACTAAACACTGGAAAACTCAAACAGGAGAGAAACACTATAACTGCACTGATTGTGAGAAAGCCTTTTCCCAAAAGTCAGACCTCAGTAAGCATAACAGAACACACACAGGAGAGAAACCCTATGGTTGTAGTAGATGTCAGAAAGCCTTCAGCCGGAAGTGCCATCTCATTTTACACCAGAGAACCCACACAGGAGAGAGACCTTATGAATGTAATACGTGCGGGAAATCTTTTACTGATAAGTCATGCCTTAATAAACATCAGAGAACTCACACAGGAGAGAAGCCCTATGGTTGTAGTAGATGTCAGAAAGCCTTCACCCGGAAGTGCCATCTCATTTTACACCAGAGAACCCACACGGGAGAGAGACCTTATGAATGCAACAGATGTGGAAAAGCTTTTTCTGATAAGTCATGCCTTAGTAAACATGAGCGAATTCACACAGGAGAGAAACAATTTGAGTGTCATGTATGTCAGAAAGGCTTCATTGACAAGTCACAACTCAATTTACATCAAAGAACTCATACAGGAGAAAAACCCTACAGATGTGAGTGTCAGAAGAGCTTCATCACTAAGTCACGGCTCGTTGCTCATCAGAGATCTCACGCAGGAGTGAAACCCTACAGTTGCAGTGAATGTGGGAAAACATTCCTCCACAAGTTTAGCCTCATTTTACATCAAAAAAACCATACAGGGGAAAAACCTTACAGCTGCAGTGAATGTGGGAAAGGCTTCATCCAGAAATTTGAGCTCCTGAAACACCAGAGAATTCACACAGGAGAGAAACCTTTTCATTGCAGTGAGTGTGGAAAAGGTTTTCGTGTGAAATCAGTCCTCAATATTCACCAGAGAGCTCACATGGGAGAGAAACCCTATGGATGTAGTGAATGTGGAAAGAGGTTCTCCATCAAGTCTAGTCTCAACTTACACCAAAGAATTCACACAGGTGAGAAACCTTTCAAGTGCAGTTACTGTCAAAAAGCGTTCACCCAAAAGTCACACCTCATCATTCACGAGAGGTCTCACACCGGAGAGAAACCTTTCGAATGCAGTGAGTGCCACAGAGCCTTCACCCGGAAGTCGTATCTCTTTATTCATCAGAGAATTCATTCGGGAGAGAAGCCTTATGAATGCCTCCAGTGTGGAAAAGCTTTCTCTCACAAGTTTAGCTTCATCATTCATGAGAGGATCCATACAGGAGAGAGACCCTATGGATGCCACGAGTGTGGGAAAACCTTCCCTATCAAATTTAGGCTTGTTTTACATCAGAAAACACATACAGGAGAGAAACCCCATGAATGCGGCAAATGCCAGAAATCTTTCGCCCAGAAGTCGCATCTGATTGTACATCAAAGGACTCACACAGGTGAGAAACCATTTGGATGCAGTGAGTGTCAGAGAGCTTTCACCCACAAACTCAGCCTCATTTTACATCAGAAAACTCACAGAGGAGAGAAATCATGAAGCAAATATCCAGACGTTTATTATACCAGAGTATAGACAGGAGTGAAAACTTAAGACTGGCAGGTGGGGACACGCTATCTCACCTCGCTGCTCATCAGAGAATGATACTGGGCAGAATACCAGACAGGAAGAAACCTGCCCCTGTATATGCTGACTGAATGTACCCCAGAGGGACAAAATGGGAACATTTGTGTATGTGCTGATCATGGGAGTGGTGTTGGCATGACACAGAGCGGTACTGGTGTCAGAATTGATACCGAGGAAAAAATTCTATATTAAAGGATCTGGGGATCATGCTTTCATGGGTATCATTTTATGAGAAGTCATGTTTCTGCTATTGTGATATAAGCAGCATTATAGAAATTACTGAATATGTAAATACACCTGCCAGGAAACAGTAAAAATTAGAACTATGTGAGAATATGTAAGTGTTCTGTATTTTTATTATGAAAATGATTGTTCACATTTGGGAATTGCATGTTAGCATAAAAATGGTAACTCCCTAGTACTTGTGTTTAAAACTACATAAAACTTAAGCGTAGGGTACACGCATTGAATCTTTGTATCAGTAGAATGCTATATAAATTGAAACTGAAGTACATGGTTCACTATTTTAGTAAGAAATCTTAATAATTAAGTATGGTTATTCTCTCTCTCCTCTTTGCCCATTTGCTGGTATGAGTAAATGGGCCTGGAAGATTTTTGTAGTCTCTTTTAAGTAAAACTTTTGCATTGATTCCAAGGTAGAAACATTAACCATATATTAACTAGACTAAAGTTAAAACATAACATACAGTTGACGGTTTGATATATTTAAATGGAGAACTTAGTACACATAAAATAGTGGTGTGTCACTTAACCAAAGGTATTTTATTGCATGCAATTGGGTGAAATGCAGTTGAAGTCTAAATCTTTTTAGACTTCTTCTAAACCAGCCAAATATTTAGGGTTTAAGATGATTTTTCACAGGTTTTATGCCCCATCGAGTTCTAAACAGTTGGAGAGAGTCCCTGATATCAGAAGGTGGGAATTAAGTATTAGTTTTAGTGCTGGTATTGCTTGATTGGGTAATGTGGGTTGTTCTGTGGTTAAATAAAATAGGCTTCTATTTCCTTCATATGCTTCCCTTAGGAGGAGCATAATCCGAACTTCAGAGGTGTTTTTATTAATCCCTCTCTAGAATGTAGCTGAAAATCTCAGATTCTTAAGTGAGGATTAAATTCTAAGATACAATGAGCTTGATTTAATTTTACAAAAATAGGTTTCCTTTTCAAACATGATTCACGTTGAAATGGAACTGCAAGTGAAGTTGCGGTGTCTGAATGGACTCACAGGACTCCACAAATCACACTTATGTAAGATTCCAAGAAAGACTATAGCCTGAGAGGGAGAAACAAGACATAGATAGGTGTTCTGCAGCATGCAGGCACAGATTCAGGGGACCTTTTTAACACAGAACATTATACGTCTCCAAGTCACAAGCCACCAAAATAATACGTGAAGTATCTCAGTTTCAGGGGAACCAGGGCCCAAGTAACTGAGGTTGTGTTATACACACTGGTCACATGCCAGAATCAGCCTTTGTGAAAGGTAAACCATCCATCTTCATATTTTTAATAAGCAATGTAGACAAGCTGGTATTTGCACTTTAAGCAATACAATGAAAGATAATATGAGAAAAAAAAATGCACAAAGAACAAGAAGGGCTGACAGAGAATCTCAGGGACACTGACAGACTTTCTCTTCCAAACTCAGGAATCAGTAGTCTTAACACATTGGGAAGGTCTGAGAACCTTGGAGGGCATGAGAGGTGATGAATCTAAAGTACTACGTGACACTGATTAGGGAAACAAATACCACTGTTCTGCTGTCTGCATCTCCAAAGGATTTGTTCAGGAATGATAGAACTCTTTGTTGTCCTGAGTGTAAAGCCTGTGGAGTTGGCTAGGGAGCTCTTCTCTTGAAGACAGATTCTTATCTGAGACACAGCAAAAGTATTTTACTGAAATGGGCCCACACACTGTCTCACCCATTCCCACCCCAAACCACATTTCATCGAGAAATCACTACCTACAGTGAGTACTTCCCAGCTTACTGAAATGTTCAAGATACTAGACAGGGTCCCAGTAGATGAAGTTTTGCAGGAACCACAGGAACTATGAACAAGTGATAGGGGAGATTTACAAATGGAGTAATTTAGGAGGGCTAGCAGGCTGCTCCCCTCTGTCTCCACCCCTCAACACAACACAAGTCACTCCCTTGGTTTCCTGCTCTGCCAAGCATTGGTTCCCAAGGTTCACTCCCTCCCCGCTTGCCTGCTTGCTTGCTGGGCACATCGGAATGTTGCAGATAAGGAAGCAGAAAGATACATATTGATCCCCTTGCCTTTGTTCGGGGCTCAGATGTCTGGGAGATGACTCCCCTCTGAGCCCGCCAGTGTGAAATAAAGCCTCAACACTCCAGGACCTCTGAGGGCCCCTCGGTTTTTCCGTCAGTGATCCAGTCCAGGTTTTTTCAGTATTTTCCGTAACAATTGTTTCCCTGAGTGGGAAACCCAACCGCGCTGGCCCTTCGTTGCCACTGGTTTGGGGCAATAGGGGGCCATGATGGAACAGGACATGGCAACAGAGAAGGCGCGCTCCGCCTGACCCCTTGGCAGTCTCCCACCCAGTCGCCCTGGGCTGGCCCCGCTCTGCTGTTCCCGTCGGACTCGAGGAGGCTTGGCAGGTGAGGACCTGGTTCCGATGTCGAATCCAGTAAGGCCCCAGGGCACCTGATCCAGCCAGTCCCACCCGTTGGGGTGGAAGGGGAGCCTGATCACCTCTAGATATTCCCAGGGGGAGAATGTTTAAACTCTGTGTGTGTGTGTGTGTGTGTGTGTGTGTATGTGTGTGTGTGTGTGTGTGTGTGCAGGGCAGCTGCAGTCATTCAGTCTGCACTGAATGTGATTCCACGGCCTGCGCTACGGAATCTGCGTGGGCCCTCATCCGCTTTCGTGGTCAGCCGTCAGGGCATATCGGTGACTCGGCTTCGGCTGACCTGGCCCTGGACTTAATACGGGTGCACCTTAGCCAAGGCTGGCCATAGTCTCCACAAGGAGCGCGAATGGACGGGCATCTGACTGGTCTCTAGAGGAGGCACCCCTCCCTTGTCTGTTGTCATGGCACTGTCCACGGACACGTCATGGGGTCAGGGCACAGTCCTTGACACTATGATCAAGAATTTCAGGAAGGGGTTTTCAGAAAACAACAGAGTAAAATTAACTCCTGGCAGGTTGAAAACCCTGTGGGAATCTGTTTTGCCCACCTTTAGTGTAGGGTGGCCTCCAGAAGGACCCCTAGATGTCCCAACAATCTGCTGAGCCTGGCGGGTCATCCCTAGAGATCCAGGTCATCCTAATCAGTCCCCACACTTGCCCAGACGCTTCCCCCTTGGGTGCGATTCGCTTGAAGCAGACAGAGACAGGGTAGGGTCTCAGTTTCCTCAACAAAGAAGCCTGCAAAGAATGAACAGAAGCCTGAGCCTCCGTAAATTTTTACTGGTGACCCAGAGGAAGAGCTAATATTGGCCCCACCTTATGTGCCTCCAAGGCCGTTAGCACCCCGCCCCTGGTCCCTCATGCCCTGCCGCCCTCAGCCTCCCTGCCGACTCCAGAACCAGTGAACCCCCCCACCAAGACCAGCAGCCAGACTGCACCCTCAGCCGGGAGCAGGTGCCCTTCAGATGCCAGTGCAAGAGATGCGGGAGCCTGAAAGACATAGTAAGTATAAGACCATCCAGCCCAGCCTGTCCATGTTTTACTATCAGCCCTTCTCCACGACTGACACCCAGTCAGAAAGCCACAAGCCCTGGTTGATCTTATGTAATCCCTTTTCCAAATCCATCAGCCAACCTAAAAAAACTGTCCATAGCTTCTCCGCACCCTGTTCACAATGGAAAAGAGGAGGCAGCTGGGGTCCTTGGTCGGGGTGCATAGGCTGAATTGCTGTCCCTGAGGAGCACCCCAAGAGGGACTTCACCACCCCTGAGGGACAGCACCAGATCCACCAATATCAGGGTGCCCTCCTCTAGGGGATCAAAGCTGGGTCCAAAAAGCCTATGAACATGACTAAAGTTTCTTCAGTCACTCAACAACCAGGAGAGTTTCCTGAGGACTATTATGAAAGACTGTGTGAAACTTATCACATCTACACCCCCTTCCCTCCTGAGTCACCAGGGAGCCAGCAGATGGTAAACACCTCATTTATAGCCCAAGTTGCCCCAGACATCAGATGAAAGCTCCAAAAAACTTGAGGGCTTCGCTGGGGCGAATATCACTCAGCTGATTGAAATGGCCACCAAAGTATACATGAGCAGAGAAGTTCAAGCTGACAGGGAGGCTGAAAGAAAAATGAAGAAAAAAGCCAGCCTCCTGGCAGCTATCTTAAAAGAAAGAGATTAGCAAAAGGCAGAGAGAAGCCAGTCACCAAGAGGAGGGAAGCCCAGGACCCCCTTAGCCAGGGACCAGTGTGCTTACTGTAAAGAAAAGGGGCATTGGAAGAACGAATGCCCCAACTGAGGCAAAGCCCCGAGACCCAGTCCCTGCCAGGAGCCCCACGGGGACAGGCTCACTGGCCGGGCAGGGACAGACTCAGATTGACAAGGACCAGGCCCTCTCGCACTTGGTCCCCGTGAGCCCACGTCAGAATGAAAGTGGGGGGGCCAAAACATGACTTTATAGTTAACATAGGGGCAGAACACTGTGTGGTCACTCTCCCTGTAGCCCCCTTCAGTGAAAAAGACTGCAACTATTCTCAGAGCCACAAAGACAGCGGCAGCACCCCTCTCACCAGAGGTGAGGGCAGGCGTCCAGGAACACCTGATCAGACTCAGAGAGGCAGCCATTCGAATCGAGTGTCAGTTGCCCTGGAACACCCCGCTTCTGCCAGTCAAAAGGCCAGGAGGAGAGTACCAGCCTGTTCAAGACCTGCGAGCCATTAATAGAGTGACTGTTTCTTTACACCCAGTGGTTCCAAACCTGTACACCCTCCTCAGCCAGATCCTGGGGTCTGCCAAATAGTTCACTTGCCCAGACTTAAATATGCCTTTCTCCGCCTGGCCCCCCAAAGCCAGCTCTTATTTGCCTTTGAATGGACTGAACCAGATACAGGGCGGCAGATGCAGTTAACATGGAGGTGGCTTCCACAAGAGTTCAAGAACTCACCCACTCTCTTTGGAGAGGCATTGGCTGCAGACCTTGCCAGCTTTCCGAGAGATGCCACATGCTGTGCCCTCCTCTTTGCCAGTGACACCCAGGAAAATTGTGCAAAAGGTACAAAGGCCCTCCTGCAACTCCTATCAGACTCAGGATACCAAGCCTCATAAAAAAAGGCACAAATCTGCCAACAGCAAGTCCGGTACTTAGGCTTACTCCTCACCCAGGG